TCTCCTCTATCTGCTTCCCATGCATAGTTCATGCTACTGATCCATAGGGACCCCGTGCAACCTCTTAATTATGTAGTAGTGGAGGGAAGCCCTTTCCACTCTCGGCTCCCAAAATAGGCATCTTGGTCGACCCTTTTAAACATCAAATTGGCTGCCTGTATGTAAGTGTCTTGACAAGTGGTAGTTTTTTCATGTAAGGCACATAATTTCTTCCTTCACATTGTCCGGCACTTTTTCACAAGGTGCTACGTTCTTGTGAGAGCAAGATAAGTGCCTCCTTCATGCGGGTTACTCCGCCCTTCACAACTTTCTAACAGAAATTGCACTTTAAATAGACATAAGCTTCTTCTCTCGCGCCAATGTCAACTGTACACTATAACTTCCAAGAATGGGTCCCTCGCAATGACGAAGACCCCTTTTTCCTTGCCTCGTACCATTGATCTCAATGAAAGAATCGAAAATTACACAGAAAAATTTCCAAAATTCTACAACCCTAAAATTTCTTCATTTCAAATCTAACCAAAAAGCTAAAAAAAAATACCTAAAATCCTTTGTGGACTTCTCCTTACAAGACGGACCGGACACTTTAACTTCGCCGGAGAGAGGCGGCGCCGCGGGAGAGCGGCGCGGGAGGCTAGACCGAGCAGACGGGGGGCTCTGGATGTGCGCAACCTGGACGCAGCAAAACGGGCGGAAAATGTCGGGATGGAGCTTAGAGCCGGATCTGTGAGGTGTGGAGATTTTAATGCGAAGATTTTAAGTAGGTGGGCCCTTGGGATGAAGGCGTACGCCTCTCTTAAAATTTGCGCAATTGCGCAACAGAGGCGCGCCTTCAGCTTCCATGAGGCGTACGCCTCCACCACTGCCTCCCTATTGGCGTATGCCTTAGGCGTTTTTTCTCGAGGAATTGCGCAGAGGCGCGCCTCAAGGCGCGCCTCTTATTGCGCATTTTAAACCATGCGTCTACACCAGGCGGAGGCGGAAACTCCCAGAGGAGGGGCGCGGACATGTTGTGGACGCCCATTTGGGGCTGATTTATTCTATGTGGGGAGGGAAATTTTTGAATGCAAAGGGTTGTTGTAGGTAATTTGTAAGGAATCCTTTATTGGTTAATTAGGAAGGATTAGGAGGGAGAGGGGGACATCTTGAATTGAATGTAATTTGAGATCTAGGGTTTCTTGCTTGGGGCTCTTGGCGTTGCCGGAGATTGCCGAGAGATGTGTTCTTCCTCTCGAATCGAAGAACATTGTATCTTGCTTTCGTTTTTGAGCATCTACTAGTGGAATAATAAGTCCATATGTGTGTTTTTTCTCTCAGATTTCCTACAGTTTTCTACTGTTTTCCTGCGATTTGGGCTGTTTTCCTGCAGAGAAAACAGCAGCTCTATTGCTGTTTCCCCACTCGAGTCGATAGGAATACTTGGATCTAAGTATTTCCTATCAAATCGCAATATTAGGAAACAATTTGAAAATTCATAATATTTTGAATTCAAATTTAAGAATATTCCATCATACATCAAATCCCAAATAGGAAACAATTCAAAGAGGGAAAAGGAGAGGTGATCGGCGGCAAGGGCTCAAGGCCGGCGGTCAAGAGCTATGGCCGGTGGCAAGGAGGGATTGGAGGCAATGCGAGGTCGTGGGAATTTTGGGCAGGATGGTTGGGTGAGATAGCCGGAGGTTTGGGGTGGAGGAGGGGATGTTAGGCCGTGAGGTTCAAGAGGGAAATTGGGTGGATGAGGTGGAGGAAACCGGTGAGTAATGGTTGGGGAAAAGAGATAGGAGAAAAATAAAGAGGATTAAGGAAAAGCCACGAACTCGACTTATCTAAGTTGGTGGGTATTGCGCCATCTCCTTCCTCTCCAAGGAAGCTCTCCACTAGAACTCACAAGTTCTCACAATGCTCCAAGCAAGAAAACACAATTCTCCAATAATCATTAATTCAATCATTCATTCATTCCCTCAAAACAAAGGAAATGAGGCTATAAATAGCCGGGTACAAAGACTTAAGAAAATAAAAGACCAACTTGCCCTTTGGGCTTACATGCGACCACTCCCATGAAAGGGGTACAAAGAGAAATAATAACGACACCTAAGCAAATAAGAAAATACATAAATAGAATAAAATACAATCATGACTCAGAAATACAAAGACTCGATCGTGGCCGTAGATCGGCGGCCACGTCACTGATAAACCTTGCACGCTGATCTGATGTCCCCATCAAGCATCTTCTCAATTACTAAACAAGAAACATTGTCCTTCAATCAAACAGATTCATGGTCAAAGCACAACGATAATCACTGAAGAGTTCTCAAAACAGAAAATTTCATTGAATCAAATGATTACTTAAATACATAAAATGACAGAAAAGCATGATGCAAATATGTAAAAAAAAAATACACAAAACAAAACAAAAGATTTTTTTTTGCATTTAAGTGGCATCACTTTATACCAACATATTATAAATAAATACCTCAAAAAAGGTGTCACCGTATCTGGAGAAATTAAGATCTGATGATTCGATGCTTTTGGCAATGAGTTCCTGTGAAAGAAAATTTGTTGCTGAGCAAGATGCATAAGAAACCCATAATGAAATGATACCCATATAAAAACACTAATTTGAGGAAATAGGCACACCTAATGCCCTTCCCAAAGTCATACTATAATATCCTATATAAAAGCTCCAACTCGCATAACATGGGCTCAATATGATTAAGTTGAAGGAAATAGAAAAACTGGCGGCATGTCAACAGGCCTTGTCATATTGCATAGAATCCATACAATATAATTGTTAAATAAATAGTTACCTATTCAAGTGATATCTATATCAGCATCAAACTCAAACTAGGTGTCAATTTGAAATATTGACCATCTATAACCTTAAAGCCGCATTTGGTGATAATTCTTGCTTTAGTGAAATTCTGTGAAAAATCCTTACCATGTCACTTACACTAACACCTCTCTCTCTCTCTCTCTCTCTCTCCACAACACTTTACATAAATACCAATATAACTTACAGTGAAAATTTCTAGATTTAATATCCTAAAGCAATTCTAATCTATTTTCAAAAACCATATCCCTAATACAATACATCCAGCACTTTCAAATTCTTTAGTTAATTTTCTACTTTCTCATCGATATTTGTAGTAAAGAATGAAGAATTTTTTCAATATTGTCTGGCTCGACAACTCTTTTACTGAAAATACTATTTGGTGATGGGTCATACCAGATCACCAGCATTATCCAGATAAATCTGGACCACCGCATCCGCAAAAGCTGCAGGGTCCAAAGGAGCTGTGATATTCCTTTTGCGGGGCTTAATCCGCGTACCACTGCAAAATTGAGGCATGGCTAACAATAAGCTTAGTTAAAAAAAGAAAAAATAAACATTTAAACTATTGTATCACACAATATCCACAAGGCTTTTCTTTAGCAGAAACATGCAGAATATTATTTATAACAATTCTAGCCTGTTAACATACTCTGAAGATGGACACACATAAATAAATGATGTTCCCCACAAGCAAACTCATAAAATGATATGATTAGGTAGAAAGTATCTTCAAAGATGTTAAATTAAGTTATATACTTCAACCTCTATGAATTAAAAGACCGAACTAAATACTGAAAGAATTATCACCAACCATATCCCTACTATTTTGGTGAGTCCGGCATAATATATGAATGAAATCAATCTGGAATGGCATTATGACCTCATAAAGCAATGCATGCTTCATCATAAGTACCTTTATCTCAGCTATTTGGGCTTGAAATTATGAGTTCTCAATTTTGAATTTTCCCTGCTAAGTGATGCCCAAGGTGTTAAACCAATTCTTCAGAAAATATTTTATTCTATCCATATCACCTTAGGTCTACTTCTTCCAAACTTCTAACACTAACTTTATCAACTGGTCTAATGAGTGCATTTCTATCCTTCTTATACATATTCAAATCACTAAGTACATTTTCAATAACCTTAGGTTAGCTTCAATAGATGTCACTAACTAATTCTTATAATATAACAATTCCCTAATTAAACTTTCCTAATTGCCACACTTTCATTTATTCAATATTGTCAACCCCAACTTAGAAATCAATTTTTTTTTATTGTAAAAAAATCAAATCCATTCAAAATCGCCAACGTAATTACAATTATATAAAATTTACTTTAAAGTCTCCATGATCTCCTCTTATAGCATAATAATCCAGTCATGCTTCTCCCTTAACTACCGAGTCTTAACTAAAAGGGTTGTTTAGTTCACACTTAACGCTAGCTTAGCTATGCTTAAGAGTAAAATGATTTTTTTGAAGCCTTAATAAGCTCACTCAAACTCATCTTAGCTCATGGGTTGGATTTAAGTTCAAGATAAGCCAAGTGCAACCCTAACAAGTTTTATTCATAAGCACCCTCTTTTGGTTGCGATTTAATTAAGACTATTTCAAAATTTCTTAATATCTTATAAAAATAAGCATAGGCTAAATATTTAATTAATTTATAAATCAATAATAAAAATAGATAGATAAATATTGACTCAATATGATGCAACAATACTTCTCCTCAAAGAGACGTGCAATGTCTAACACGTATCCGACACGACACGTGTCAGACACACCGAAAACATGTCCGATTAAAAAAATATATTAAATATAAATTGGACACACGTGTCTTAAATATTTTATGAGTTTTTTTTTAAATATAATTTCTTGTATATAAAAATTTTATTTATTTAAAACATAAAAACTGAATTTCTTCTTTCCTATCCACAACACCAAATCAATCACCCGCACTTAATACCTCATTCATCGAATATTCTCATTTTCATTGCTCTTTGGCGAGTTGCGACCTTGGTTTCACAACAATGCCTGATGTCATCTCAACATCGACGTATGACATCATTATAATATCGACATTTCAAAATCATCTCAACATCAAAGTACGACACTGTCTTGACATTGATGCTCGACGCTAGCAATTTCTACACCCACAACTTGATAACTCATATTTGTCCGATGACTTCTTAACATTGACGACCAACGCTCTCTCAATAGCAACAACATACGTCCTTTTGACATTGGCGTATTAGACTATTAGTCTTATTACATAACATCAATGTCCGAATCTCGACAACATCGTCGTCTCCTCTCTCGATGTCTGATAGACAGCATTGATGCTTGACTCTCGACATCCTAATATTAATCATTGTAAGCACAAATTATAAGTAAATGACTATTATTTTTAAATTATTTTTTATATTATACTTATTAAATTTTTATAAATTATTTTAAAATATAAAAATTATAATACCGTGTATAATCTGTGTTCGTGTCCTATATTTTCAATAATTGACGTGTCATGTGTCTGTGTCGTATCCGTATCGTTGCGTTAGTGTCTGTGCATCATAGATATTGAGTCATTTATACTAAATATTTTAAATATATTGATTATATTTCATATGTATCAAATATGATGAGCATGAAATAATTTTATAAATACATTACTAATTAATAATTTATTATGCAAATATATTCATTAAGGATTAATTAGATTTTTATATATATATATATATATATACACTAATGTATAATAGATCTCTAATACTTAAACCTATCACATCTATACATTATTTTATCTTCCAATAATATCAATTAATAATTATTCGGGGTGTCAAAATGAATTTTTGGGTCGAGTTAGGGTCAAACCCAAAATTGGCCCGTCATTATTTGACCCGATTTTGAAAATGGGTCAGAAATCCAAACTAGGGTCCGACTTGCCCCAACACGCTAACATGGGCGCAGAGCAGGTGAGCAAGCGCAAGGTCGAGCATGGACTATAGAAGCGCAAGGTCGAACACGGGGTCGAGCGTGTGGTCAAGCGTAGCTAAGGCAGGGATCGTGTGCGGCACGCAGCGTGGAGCAAGAGCGAGGCAGCCCGCGGGAGCGGGAACCGGGGTCAAGCGCGAACGAGGCAGGTCGCAAGTGCACAAGTGCGAGAAGCAGGAGTGACGTGGTGCGAGAGGGATCCTGGTCAACTTCGAGTTTTCAGGTTCACCAGAAAACACCTTGATTTTAAAAACAGGGAATAATTTTGAAATCGGGCCCAACCCGTTTGCCAAACAGGTTGACCCAAACCCGAAATTTTTCAAGTCGGATCTGGGTTGAGTCAAATATTGAATGATTATTTATATCATAGCCATTAAAAATGCACATTATATTCTCAATCTTTATTTTATTAATTTTAACTCGCCTATCTTCTACATCATTTTCTCTATTATTCTAACTTTTCACAAATTTTAGTGGATCTCACTAATTAAAATTTTCATCTATAAAAAACATACAGCCCAGCCCCTCAATGTGAATATCTCAATAACAATCCATAACCAAAAAATAAAATAAAAATTCAATACTTATCACTCATAATACATAAAGCAATGCATGTGTAAGTTTTAAAATCAGAAATATTATCTTAGTTTGCATAGAAATTAAATAATAGTTGTTCATACTTTCCAACGATCTAATATCAGCAATAAATAATTAAAAGGATAGTTTTAGAGGCATTGAATATAAAGATTACATCAACCCACGCCGAGTTCTACCCTGTATGATAGAAGAAAGAAAAATGTCGACAAATACAGTTTCATCACATGACATTAAAATATCTACACTGATAAAAAAATAGAAAATTAGAAAATTTGTTTCCTCATGGCATTGAACTATTAGTATTAATTTCTTAAATTGTGGAAGTTCACCATTGTTCTTTCTAGAAAAAGAAATTCTGCATTTTGGAAAAATGCGCTTGAAACATTACTTTCTTGTAGTTTTACATCTAGGACCTTCCACAAAATGTTTGGAAGATAAGGGCATGAACTTTGATAAGCTCCCCAACAATGATTGGAAAGTAGGACTTGAAAGCGTGCATGAAGCCCAACACTTCCAACTTTAAAGCTTTTACTTCCCAATTCTCTTTTAAGAACTAAAAGAAGGCTTGCACTTCATGATTTCATCAAATTGCCATCTCTGATCGGCAACAAGTTTTGCCATTTGTAGGAAAGGATTCCCCTCATTATTATTATTGTTATCGGAGTTGTTTAGTTTGAACAAAAGAGGTATAAAGTATTTGAAATGTAAAGGGTTCCAAAAAATATTAATATTTGGACTGAACTAAAAAAATGCAGAGTAAAAGGTAGAGGTAAACCTAAAAAGACTTGATTAGAAAATATTAGAAAAGACCTTTTTTTATTAGATGTAGATGAGAATTTGACCATTAACATGGCACAATGAAGAAAAAGGATTTATGTGGCCGGCCCCACATAGTGGGATAAGGCTTGTTGTTGTTGTCGTAGAATTAACCCTTTAGTTCAATTTTTATGTATTTTAAAATTGTTAGATTTGTCCAATTTTCAAATACACGGTAAATTTCATGTCATTGTTACATCGCCGCTCGCCGTCAACCACCCACCATCCCCACTCGACAACATTCGCAGCTTGAAACCGCCACCACCCGCCGCTCACTAGCATCGACTACCGTTGTCAGTCGTTGCCTATTGTCGTTGTCGTGACATATCATTGCCACTTCCACCGCCAGTCATCGGAAACCATTATCAATGGACTTTACCCTGCATTCATTTTATTTCAAACCAAACATAAAATAATAAAAATAATAATTAGATAAATTTATTTATATTTATCAAAATAACTCCAAACATTTTAAATGCGCTACACTCCTTTTATAATATATTTCATTGTACTCTACATTCCTTCTGCATCAAACCAAATGGCCCCATATTGTTTTCCGAACATCCTTTCAAAATCAAATCAAAATAGTTCAATTAACTTTTTCAAATAGTTTATCTTGCATGTCAGCATTGTGAATCATACATAAACCATCTCTCAATAATATGTGCAGCATACAAAGATAAAACCATGAAGCCTTTACAATTAGAATTTTACACTGCACTTTCAGTAGGATAAAGCACTTTAATTTGAAAGCATGATATATTATGCATTAAAAAACAGCATGACATATGGACACTACAATGCCCAGCAATGAAATTGCATGCTTGTGCACATTTATTCATATGCCAAATTGATGCAATAAAACAAATATTGCAAAGACTCGAATCTTCCTTTCTTACAACATAGATAAACATAAATGCTAAGATTGCAAATTTAAAGACACTTTTATAGATAAAGAATCAACATAACGCATTGACGCGGCTACAATTAACTTACAAAAATTTTGTAGAAGAATGATAAATGTGGAGTAAAAACCATGGATAGAAGAAAAAGATAGAAGATCGAGATGAATTAATAGAGGGGAAGGGTATAGGAGGCT